GAATGGAGGAGAAGGGATTGTGGTGTGACCATCCCCCCTGGGGGGTGATTTCTCACTTTCTGTCTCTATGTCTCTCTCTGTCTGTCTGAGGAGCGCACGCACCCTATAGCAAAAACCTCTCAAAAAACAAATTTTTATTTTACTTTATTTATTTATTTTAATTTGACCAGAGAGGGACAGAGTGAGAGAGAGAGAAAATGAGAAAGCACGCTGCCAGGTCCAGGACTTGAACCACAGTCGGCCATGTGGGAATTCAGCACCTTTAACAATCATACCACCTGCCAGCCCCAAAAATACCTTGATTGTATGGGAGGAATTAACTTTTTGCACATTACTTTTTTACCATTTTCAAAGTTTTTTTTCACTTCTGATTTATTAATAGAAGAATCTCAGTTTGTAGTTTAATTATCTTTTTCTTTAGAGAGATTTTTGCTATAGGGTGCGTGCACTCACCAGAGAGAGACAGACAACATACAGAAAGCAAGAAATCAACCCCCTGGGGGACAGTCATGCAGCAATCTCTTCTCCTCCATTCTCCTCTCAGGAATTTTGGGCATGCACGCATACACGCACAGTGTGAGTTTGAACCCACTGGGTCCAGAACTCGAACTGTAGTCGACCATGTGGGAGTCTGACGACATGACCATTATGCCATCTGCTGGTCCTTTAAATCTTAGTCATTCTATAATAACAAGTTTGACAAAATTTGTTTTGCCTTTTACCAATAATTTTCTTTTAGAGCAGTACATCTATGAGATTTGAAATTTGGTTCATTTATTTGTCCACTAAAAAAATCATCATGATCGACTGAATAAATTTCTTCTTTTACTGAATTTTTGCTCTTTTTTAGAAAAAAGTAAAGCCTTCAGGGGGCCAGCAGATGGTACAGTGGTTAAAGCGCTGGACTCCAACATGGCCAACCATGATTCAAGTCCAGACCTGGTGGCCTGAAACTCATGCCGGGTGTGTGTGTGTTGTGTGTGTGTGTGTGTGCGCACGCGCACACATGCACACCCAAAATCCCAGGAGAATAGAAGAGAAGGGATTGCAGCATGGCCATCCTCCCAGGGGCTGATTTCTCTTTCCTTCTCACTGTCTTTGTCTCTCTCCAAAGAGTCCATACACCCTAAGGCAAAAACCTTAAAAATAAAAAAATAAAAAAATCAAGGCCAGCAAGATGTCAGGATTCCACATGGCCAACTGCAAGGTTTGAGCCTGGGATCCGGTGGCTTGCACATGTGTGCGCATGCCAAAATCTTGAGAGAATAGAAAAGAAGAGATTGTGGCATAGCCATCCTCCTTGGGAGGTGATCTCTCTCTCTCTCTCTCTCTCTCTCTCTCTCTCTCTCTCCCTGGTGAGTGCAAATATTAATCAGGTCTTTTTAGTTTGTAAGTGACTGAAATCCAACTTTATTATAAGCAGGCCAGCCAGTGGTCTGGTGGTTCAAGTGGTTGGATTCCACATGGCTGACTTTGTTGTTCATCCCAGACCTGGCAGCTTAAAAAACATGCCAGGCACGTGTGCATGCATGACCAAAACACAGAAAAGAAAGAGAAATGGGGGAGAAGGGATTGCAGCATGACCATGCCCTATGGGGAGTGCTTTTTCAC